GGTGCGCGGCCTGGGGCCAGCGGCTGTCGGTGCGGCTGTGACAGCTACAGGCGTCGCCCAGGTAGTTCATCTTACGCGTTGTTCATTGGAACTTGTCCCTCGCTGCTGTTCGCCCAGGGCTGGAGAGCAGAAGGCTCCGGGGAGACCTCGTTGTGGCCTTTCAGTATCCGAAGGGGCCTGCAGGAAAGCTGAGGAGGGACTTTCTACAAGGGCTTGTAGCTAGAGGACAGGAGGTGATGGATTAAAAGTGGATGAGGGGAGATTTAGCTTAGACATCAGTAACTCTGACACTCTTTAGTGTGAGGGCAGTGAGACACTGGCCCAGGTTGCCCAGGGAAGCTGTGGCTGCCCCATTCCTGGAAGTGTTGAAGGGCAGGTTGGATGGGGCTTGGAGCAGCCTGGGCTGGTGGGAGGTGTCCCTGCCCATGCAGGAGGGTTGGAACTAGATGATCTTTAAGGTCCCTTCCAACCCCAACCATTCTATGATTCTGTAATTTCAGTCCTGATTTCATTATTTCGTGGTGATTTTCCGTAACTTCAGTCTTGCTGCAATAAATGTGTAACAAATGCTGTAGAAATGTAGCCTGTACTGTTGGGATCGTATAGTTAATGGAAACTAAATGTTAGGGGGGGGAAACACTTGTTTCCCAAACTGGTTTGTGCTAACCAGGAGTGGTCTGCGTGGGCACCAGTAGACCTGTCAGCCATGATGACACAATGTTGGCTTTGGGGCCCATATGATCAACAAGTATTTGAGCCTGTCTGGGAGAAAAGCACTTTGGCAGCAGGTTTCATAATACCATCACGACTAATGCTGTGTCTGTTGCAGGTGCTCTTGTACGTTACAAATAAAAGTCATCCAGAGTTTTCTCTCTTTAGAGTGGAGGTCTGCCTTGAAATAGGATCTGGATCTGGTGTGGTTTCAGCATTTCTAGCTTCTTCCGTTATAGGATCCAGTGCACTGTACATGTGAGTATAATAGCATTTAAACTGTTTTATGCCGTTGCAACGATAAGGAATACTTGGCCCCCACATGTATACTTTTCCTTTTTTCACATTTTCAAAACTATTCACAAAGAAATATTAGCTCAGTCTACAGATACAAAAAACAAAGCAAAGTGAGCCTAAAGTATTTACTTCAGGTTCTGTAATAAATTTCTCCAACTGATTCCAATTTTCCACTTAGGCAGATTGCTAAGCTTACTCTTGTGTTTGCTGAATTGAATCCTAAATTTGAGCCACTGATTAGTCTTCCTGAGATTTGATGCCATAACATTAGCTACCCGCGTGTTGGCAATAACTGAATTTTATTAAAGACATGTATGCATATATATTTATGCAGAGCTAGCATTCAAAAAGAAATCCCGTACTTCAGCTCTCAGTCATTAAAATTTCCAGTGCAGTGTTGACTGGTTTAGCTACTGATACATTGTGGTTTACTGGCTATTTTTTGCTATCTACTTGCAAAGTAAGGGATGCTGGAAAGGATATTTTTGCTGCGAGGAAGCAAATAAGCATATTGTTCACAAGTTTAAACTGTCAAGACACAATAGCCAGTCACTTACACTTAGTTATATTTTCCTTTTAGATGTACTGATATCAACCCTATGGCAGCTTACTGTACACTGGAGACAGCTCTTCTTAACAACGTTCACCTTCAGCCAGTCATTACTGACTTGGTAAGATAGATGTTTCAATAATATATTTTCATAATTTTTGTAATTTATAAATACTTGTTAGATGTACTGAAAAGTAACCAATAAGTTTAGAAAAAACATTATCTTAATAAGGCACAGCTGAAAAACATAAAACAACAAATTGCCAAAGTGCTTCTGGAAGAAGGGAAAACAAACTACTCAAGGTCTAAAATTAAAATTTAAGCTTTTTAAAAATTAAATAAAAAAAATACATTAGAAATTTAAAAATAAAATTAAAAAAATTATATGGCTTGGAAAATGCTGCACAGGGCACACTGCAGACTTTATCATAGCTCTTCCTTTAATGTGACACAGTTCTTGGTTCTCAGCTCTCTGATTTAATTCAAAACTATATTGTTACATCTTGTTTTTTACAAAATTTGTTATGGAAAAAAGCTTATGTATCTTATCTCTTTAGCAAGATATTTGTTTAAAATACCGTGAATACCTGTGTTTATAAACAATTATGAAAATAGGCAACAGTAAATGTGGTCAGCTGCTCACACTTAAGAACTGAACATGAGTTGTCATAGATTGGTCATTTTGGGTAACAAATGCTAACCCCATGATAAATTCAAAATTCTCTTCTATTTAACTTGAATTCTGAACTGAGCAAGAATAAAGTGCTATTTTTGTGTCTGCGTATTTTTTGTGTCTTGCTCTTCTACATCCCGTATGTAACATTGCCTTACAATTATTGAAATTGCTCTGCTATGCACAGGTACTTCTTGATGCTTCATAGAAAGGAAAATTTAGGGTTACTGAGTCAGGTTGAAATATTCAGAATAGCCAGCGCTATGTAACTGTATTTTCATAAAATGTTTGCAATCTTTATGTTTAAAAAAAAAAATAACAAAAGAATCTGCTTCATCTGTAGGTCAAAGGACTGACTCCAAGATTAAATGGAAGCGTTGATCTACTGCTATTTAATCCACCATACGTGGTAACACCTTCTGAAGAGGTAGAAAAATTTTGAAATACTTAATAAAAACGGTGTTTCTACTGTCAGAGGAGAGATGGTAAATCAAATAAGCTATGGCAGGAATTTTTTAATAGTAAAGGATGTGGTAGGACCAGCACTGTTTTGCTGAAAATTATTTACTAGAGTGCATCTAAAGACTACATGGGAATAAGGAATGCTAGCTGCTCCTTCTCAATATCTAGTTTCTCATCAACTATAAACCATATAAGACTTCTGTTAGGCATGCTAAGGGATTCTTACAGAAAACTGTCAAAGGAAAATGAATTTTTTTCCCTGCAAAATAAATATTGTCTGCTTCTGGAGACTCCAGCTCTCAAAATTGGACCCAGGAACACTTAAAAGGTTTTACTGGCCACCCTCCTTTGGCAGACAAGCTTGTAAAACATTACATATAAAACAATACATACACGAGGCATGTGACAAAATGTAGCTCTTTTAATTCAGTTTAAGAACCAAAATTGAAAAAAAAAGTCATATCCTCACTGTGTAAATAGTATGTTTGAAGTACCACTGACATTTCTGTCCTTCGTACCAAGACAACCTTTGCTTTTATTATTCCTAGGTGGAAAGCCATGGAATAGAAGCATCCTGGGCTGGTGGCAAAAAGGGCAGAGAAGTAATGGATAGAGTTTTTCCATTAGTACCAGACCTACTTTCACCAGGAGGATTATTCTACTTGGTCACAATTAAAGAAAATAATCCAGGTAATCACTTTCCCTGGACACTTAAATATGCCAAACCAGATTTACCCCGGTATTAATAAAAATGTTGATCACAGCAGTGTTCTACATGTTATCAGACTTCAGAAACAAGAAAAAGTACTAACACCATGTAGCATGTGGTGATAGCACCTGACTGCAGATTGACAATATGCACTGAAATGAAAATTGGTGTTCTAGGCCATTTTCTAGAAATGCTGCTGGCAGCTAGAGTGTATCTGCATGCTTTGTATGAACCATGGCATCTCTGCAGCCTCTTCAGCTTCTCATCTTTCACGTTTGTGTGGGTGTCTAATCTACAAGGGGACTTTTACATAACTCGGTTTTAACACTGCACTTCCCATTTCAGATGAAATTCTAGAAACAATGAAGAAATACGGCTTAGAAGGCACACGAGTACTTTCCAGGCAAGCCGGACAAGAGATGCTTACTATCCTCAAATTTAGAAAGTCCTGAAAACTGCTCTTAACCCACCAGATACATGCAGAAAGTTGAACAGAGGATACTGAAGTTCTAAAAGCAATTTTTAAGCCAAGATTTTAATCCTCTCAAGGCTTATCCTCACTTCCTAATTACTGCAGTGAAACTGACCAAAGATCTGTTTTTATTCTGGATGCTAACCAGATAAAATCTGGTGTCAGAGGTAGTTGTCCTCTGGGTATCTGCAGGGCAATTTTAGGGGAACTGTGAAATATCCAACTGTGTTGCATTTGCACTTAAGCACTGAAGACTTTTTCCTCTGTAAATAGGTATTTCTATGTTTGTCATTGCACCTATTAAAATAACGTACCTGATACAATTCTTCCTGTTTAAAATTAATATTGGAATCAGTGTGACTAATTTTGAAGTAGTATTAGGCACTCTTACAGGTCTAAGGCATACTTACTGAGTTTATTTCTGCAGTAAGAAAACTGTACTTCAGAACATAGCGAGGCATGCAGTAGGTGTATTGCAAGGGCTGGAACAAAGGCAAGCTGTTACTCTTCTGAATTCTTCACAGTGAAGTGTTGTGGTGACGGTGCTTACACCATTTTTCAAGGAGGGTACTACTATTGAGATGTAGATTAGATAGAGTTCTCATCCATTAAAAGGTATTAAGGGGAATACATGCTATTAAAAATGCTAGGCAGCTGAAAACAATGGCAGTAAGTAGAGAAATGGAACAAAAGTCCTCTCTCAAAATCACTATCCAAAATAGAAAGTCCTTTTCTGACCACCAGACCCTGAAGAGCAGCTTTCCTCTGCAGCTTCCCCCCCTCCTGGTGCCCACAGAATGTTCCAGTACAGCATCATTCCAGCAGCATGTTGAGAAGTGTGCTGTGCAGTGGGCACAGGCCTATGAGGAAGATGTTTTGCTGACATGAATGCAAAGGTAGAAACTGTTTGGGTGTGCAGCAGCACTAGCCCTGTTTGAGAGAATGCGTTCGAAGAAACTGACCTTTAAAAGTTTGTGTCAACACAAACTTTTACTGAGAAACCACTTTTTTGTAGGATGCTGAGGCAGCAAAAAGACTATTCCATTTGAGACTTCAGAACTAAACTTCTGATTCTGTACTTACTCAGCTTATATAAACATGTTTTGATCTGACCACCCAAAAAACTTTTCTAGGAGTGTAATAAAATGTATCATGCTTTCAGCAAAAAAAGATTGCATTGGACTTTCTTTAACAACTGGATATTTTGAGAAAAAAATACAAGTGTCTGCTTTAATAAAACAGGTCAATTCTCCTGGCCACACTGTGTTGCTGTCTGCTGGGACTTCAGTGGAACCACTTGTCAAAATGCAATCCAAGGGGGATTTAACACTAACACCTATTCCCTTCTTGTAGGAGACCACAGAATGCAGCACTGTTTCTAGAAAGTTTTGAGAAGCATATTGCTGTATTCAGGGCACATGAGCATAAGCCACATGATAGATAACAGACTTTATATATAGTGTCAAACTTGACCAAGAAGCAAGCAGAAATTCTGCTCCTGCAGGCCCCCACGCACTGCTCTGTCAGCAAGTACCACTGTCAAAAGACACTGCTGTTTTGGAAGCACTTGCACTTCTTTGTTTTAGCAGTACTGAGACAAAGGCGTTCCATAAGGCTGCTCCTAGTAGACAATTTGCAAGTTAGGGTCCTGTAGAAGAGTTTAAAATATCTTTTCAAGCAATATTATTAACCACAACTAGTGTTCAGTTATTGACAATCCTTGAGGTTTGGTATCAGTAATTATGAAAACAATACAGCTTGCTCCTTAACCTGTGTTTTCAGTTTCAGACCTTTTCAATACCAGTTTTGAATCTTTTCCATTCCATCTCAAAAAACATCAGGAAATTTATCTCCTGAAAGCTCAGTGTTACCCATTAAAATTATACACTTCAGTTACCATTTCTAGAGCTATAACCTCACAAGGTACCAGCTTTAAGAAGACACACAATCTAAAAAAAAAAAAAAAGCAGCTGTTGAGGTACAGCCAATCGAGCGCACTATGAATTTGGCATCTGAAAATTTATACTATAAATTTCTGCAAGTTTAGCACACAGATGAAGACACAGCAGTCCAGAGATTACAGAGACTGACAAAAGTTATTCAGTCCTCCCCTTTTATTGACTTTTCAAAGAAATCCATCACAAATACCATCCAAGCTAGAATATATTAGTATGCTACTGCTGTTAAAAAAAGAGCATGAAAAAAATGTATACTTGAAGACAATATTAAACTCTGATGCATCTTTCATGTTCACTTAAGAGTCATTATTTTTAATGGGACAGTGGAAGTACAGTGTACATTCAGTGACAGTTTGCCAGCTAATGAAGACATGAACTGAACTGATTAATTGATCAGTGTGTATGCCTTCACTTCAAAAGCCAATTGTTGATAAATAGGTAGTGTTTTTCATTGTCATGCAGAAACGATTGTACTCTCTCTACTTGGGCTTCTGACTTTTCATGTTTTGAGGGTGTTGGATAGCTAAGTTTTTTTTGGAAAAACTCAGTTCATAAACACGTTAATTTAGAGCATGCTATGTTTAAATTTTATGCTTTAACTGAAGGTTATCATCCTAGGTCCATGCCTTAATGTCTAACAGCAACAACATTAATTGTCTCCATAAGAGGAACTATTAAGAATGCACTATAATAAAAAAATCCAGTCTTTATACCACCTATGTTAAATACACCTGTTACATTAGGAGGCATAATCTGGGTTAGTGCATAACACTGTGTTAGAATATACCTAAGAGGTTTTTATCAACTATGCAGTGGCTTAAACACCACTTTTCAGACTTAACTGCATTATTTCTGAATTTTTAGCATGTCTCAATACCTTAAAAATATACAAATTAAAATAAATTATTCTTATATATTTCTTTATATCAAAGAAGAATCTTCAAATTTACAAAAAACAGTCCAGAGGTAAATGTGTGTCATAGCCCACTAGTCAAGAATTTAAAGTAACTGACATTATTCTAAGTTATAGAGCTTATTGCCTCCTCTTCATTAATTACTTCGCTCACCAAAAGAAGAAAAGACCTTTTTGTTTCAGAAAAATGTCTCTCGACAGAGTGGACAGGTAGATTTGTTGCTGGATGTGAACCATTTGTACTGAAAGAGAAATACAACTATTTAATATAAGAATGCAAACTAAATATCTGGAACATTAGTTTATCACATTTAATAACCATGATTTACCAATGAATATAACTATCAAAGCATTAACTATACGTCAAAAAACCACCACTTTTAAGAAGTTTTTTAAAAAACAGCTTTCCACTTATATAAGCATATAGATACATATGTATATACACATATTGCACACACACAACACTACAGTTTTATTCTAAAAAAATTGACACAAAGGAATTCTCACCTAGTCTCGTTTTAGAATAAAAAGTTAGTGTTTTTAAGGCAGCAATAATTCCTTCAGTATATGGCAACCTGTAACCATACAACCAATGCTGACTTGGATATAGTTAAATATTCATTATCCAGATCAGCATAATTTACTAAAAAGCATGCCACATCAAGTAAAATTTTACCTTTTCTATCCCCATATTTGAGCTGGTAACAGGAAGATTTATAGGTGCTGCTATGCCCTATGTAGATGTAATGGTTTCTGTGTTGATGTGTCACAACACATGAACTACTAAGAAGTGTAGCAACCCCTCTCCCATTACATGCCCTTACAGCTTAGTACAAAATCCATAAAGTAATTTATGAGTTCAGTTAATCCCAAGTACACCAATGATATAATGGAGAATTGATGGTATTACAACAGACGTTCCTGGTTCAAACAAGAAATTAACATTTTGCCTTTTTAAAAAGCTTAGTGTAAGTACTTACCAAGCAAGCTGAATGAAACTTTTTCTTGCATGTTCTGCAAGCTTTTTTGGGAAGAGAATAGTTGGAACCATGAATGACTGAAAAACAGATCATGCAGTCTTCAACACCCTCAAAACGTTTATCCACATTATTTTTCCACAAAGATAAGCCTTCCATAATACTTCCATTCTAACAGAGGGAAAAAAGCTGTTAATGCTGTAGTATATAAACAAGCATTCATCACAACAACAAGAATGCACGTATGAGCACTTAAAAGGGGACTTTAATATTTTCAGTCACTCTTTTGTTCTAACTACAGATGATGCCATTTCAACAACCACCAATCTTTAACACTTTAACGTAGTGGGGTTTTTGGTTTGGCTTTTGTTGTTAGTTTTTTATTTTCAAATATTAGTTGAGATGGCATTGTCACAAGTGGCAAACACTGGCCCATGTCTTAAGAGACCTACATTTTCAACTCTGGCTATGGATTTAACAACATCAGTAATTTTACCTCTGTTTCAGCATCTGGAGCAAAGCAAACGGTAAGAGTGACCAATTCTTTGTAGTCCTTTGAGATCTACAGTTGAGACCCATTATACTAATCTAAATAATATGACATTACTAGGAATATTTTTCTATTATCAGGAGTCTTTTTAAGTTTTCAAAACTATGGGCTTGCTCTAAACTCACCTGATGTGTAAGATACGTGCTTAGCTGTAGCATCCAATTGCGCCACTGTGGTACAGCCACACCAACCCTCTTGCCACTCTCAACTGTTATGGATCCCAGTGGGTAATTGGATGGAAGCTGTATTATTAGCTCAATAAATATATCATCAATTGAATAGGTAGCAATGACTTCCCGTGCTGCAGACCGAGCTTTTACCTATAAAAATGCACATTAAAAAATCCACAGAAATTAATATAATCTCTAGTCTTTTTTTATTTATATATATATATAAAACCCCAACACATAAATACTTTACTACACGTGTTACATAATTTTCTTAGACTGGGAAAACACTTTTCTCAAAGATAATAAAAATCCACTCATATCTTGGCAAAACAAATTACCTGCCATTTTTCAGTTTACTGATTGATTACATATTTAATAAACCAAAAATAAGTATATTCATAGCAGTTTCTTCCATATTTTTTTT